TTCCAGCCGGCTGGTGATGTGGTCCACACCACAACGGCCACCTTTACTTCCAGCCGGCTGGTGATGTGGTCCACACCACAACGGCCACCTTTACTTCCAGCCGGCTGGTGATGTGGTCCACACCACAACGGCCACCTTTACTTCCAGCCGTCTGGTGATGTGGTCCACACCACAACGGCCACCTTTACTTCCAGGACTTTACCCGGTACCTATTTAAGACCAGTTCGACCTGGGAGATAAGCTCACTTCTGAAAAAAGTCCGGCTCCATGAGAACCTGAAACCGCGACCTTTGGATCAGGCATGCCAGCGTCTAACTACACCACGAAGGCTCCCCTGCAGTTATTAGTGTATAATGTTTGCAACTTCCTAAAGGCCAACTGTCTAGTAAACATACAGCAAGCGCGGATGTGCCCAGGCGGGAAAACACCACCCAGTCAAGCCATGCATGCAACAGACACCGAAACACCCAGGAAATAGATGAGTTACTTATTTGGCCGGCGAGCCAGCTAAGACACAGAAATATTGATTTGAGCGATGAGAAATGGGCTCGGCTTCAGTGTCAGGTCGGATCTGACGACCTCAATTGAACCTGTCCAGACGCAGTCAGGATATCTCCAAGGACAAGTCTGAAGAACTGGCAGCCCCCAGGTTTGGCTGCCTCGTAAATGACAGGGTCATATTACATTCGAGACTAGAAGAGTGGCGGGATGTGGAAAAACTGGGCTTATTCTGAATGTGTGCGATAAAAACCTCCCTTTTTTAAAACTCGTATTTGGCTGTAAATTTCGGGTTAAGACTTGTAAAAAAAAAAAAAAATCAGTTGGAGGTTTTTATTCAATAGAATGTCTCTCCCACCATGGCACGACTCAAAGTATCTATTTCTAGCCCTGTGGTCGGCAAATCGCGGCTCAGAGCCGTATGCGGCCCTTTAGCGACCTGAGTGCCTGCTCGGCCAGTCGGCCACCAGTCTGTTTTGACTCCGAAAAACATGGTTCTTGACAGGTTCTTAAAAAAAAAATATGGCTCTCCAAATTTTTTTTTAAATCTTCCAGCTGCTGATTGTTGGCTCTTGTGATTAGAGAGTTTGGTGTCCATGGTATTCTCAGAATTAATTTTCTTGGTCCATGGTATTCTCAGAATTATTTTTCTTCATTCATGGTATTCTCAGAATTTTTCTTGGTACATGGCAATCTCAGAAGTTTTCTTGGTACATGGCAATCTCAGAAGTTTTTTTGGTACATGGCAATCTCAGAAGTTTTCTTGGTACATGGCAATCTCAGAAGTTTTCTTGGTACATGGCAATCTCAGAAGTTTTCTTGGTTCATGGTAAGCTCAGAATGTTTCTCAACATTGAGATTATAATATCTGACCCCTTTCCCCTCCCCCACCCTCGCCATATTTTCCCACGATTAATTCAGTAAGAGCCCACGACGTACACCCATAGGTTGCCATGGCAAAGACACGTGACCTCAGAATGTTTACTTTCAGTTGTTTGCAGGTGTTAGGCCACAGGTTCTTCATGCTGTTTAATATCTGCACTGCAAAAGCAAGTCTCCTTCTGAATCCTTTTCTGTAGTTTCCTTTTTTTTCCCCGAATAAACCTAGGATTTTCAAAATCTGACATTTTAGATTCTAATATGTATTTAGTATGCCGCATTTACAGTGGTCACTTATTTATTTTTTCAAATTATGACAATAATTGTATTTTTTGACGGTCAGATAGGTTTTTCTAAGCCATGTACCTCCGTTAGAAAGGAGAAGTGTATCGTCTACATGCGTGAGTTCTGGGATAGGTTTACCTCCAGCTGTGAGAGAATGGAAAATGTCACATGCCTCACCATGAACTGTATTTCCTAGAATATTTTCCTCACGTTTTTTGTTAAGGGATAGAGAAAGAATGCAGCCCTGTCTCATTCCTCTCTGCCACTCAATCCAGACAGATGTTGCCCCGTCTGCTCTCACTGCTTCTTGTTGTTTGTGGTAAAGAGATTCAATAAGATGCACCGAATGTGTTGGAAATCCCGCGCCTATCTCATTATATGTTTCCGTTTCTGGTGAAAAAGACAGTGAAAAGACTTGCTGCAGCCCATGGATCTGTATGGGGACCTACCTTGTACTCTCCACATTTCTGACTCTCATGTAAAAAGGAAAGACAGAATACGAAATCATGAAATCAGACGAATGCTAGAAATAAAGCCAGTCTTACAGGTCATCAAAGAACAACAAATGAAGTGGTTTGGACACCTAACAAGAATGCCCTAGTACTATCTGCCACAGCGAGCCACACTAAAACGTTACAACGGGTATAGAACGAGTGGAAGGCCTCGGAAAATATGGAGTGACGGCATTAAGAACAGCCTTACAGAAATGAACATCAGTCTTAATAGTGCTCTTGACAGAGCTCATCAGCGAACATTACATCTCCCCCCGACACTTCGATGAGGTAAAAGGTGGAAGAGAAGAAGAAGAAGATGTTAAAAATACGGCCCGATGTTCACCTGCCGCGTCTAACAGAAAGCTGGAGTTGATTGCATCAAACTGACTTACAACTAGCCTCTCATGGGTTCTGATATCCTATTATGAGGGAAACAAACAGACGCCAACACCACACCTCTCCCTCCTCCTAACAAGCACGTAGCAAAGACCATCACTTAAGGATTTGCTGAAACCGTATGTGTTGGAGCAGATATCCCAGCCTAGATTTAAACCACATCCTAATGTAGCAACCGCCCTTTTCCAGAGGAAGGCAGAAGAACAACAATAGAACACTCTAGCACACGCCAACAAACAGATTAAATATGACACGTGATTTGTAAAGTTGCTTAAATTAAATATGCGCTACATATTTTTAATTCCCGTTTATTTCGCAGTGCACACGCATGCCAGCCAGTAGGCAGCACGTAACTTAATTACCAATGAGTCGTTACCACTGGGTCGTTACCACTTGGTCGTTACCACTTGGTTGTTACCACTGGGTCGTTACCAATGAGTCGTTACCACTGGGTCGTTACCACTGGGTCGTTACCACTGGGTCGTTACCACTTGGTTGTTACCACTGGGTCGTTACCAATGAGTCGTTACCACTGGGTCGTTACCACTGGGTCGTTACCAATGAGTCGTTACCAATGAGTCTTATCACTGGGTCGTTACCAACTGGTAGTTACCACTGGGTCGTTACCACTGGGTCGTAACCAATGAGTCGTTACCAGTGAGTCGTTACAATTCGGTTGTTACCAATTGGTCGTTATCAATGAGTCGTTACCACTCGGTGCCCAACATTTCAGCCACATTAAGAGATCTAACACTTTAAAAAAAAAAAAAAAAGCATAAGGCAGGAAAACGAGGAGGGCAAGACAACAAGCGCTAGACAATAATACAAGTGGGAGGATAACATTAAGAGGTGGACGAACAGCAGTCCTAGAGCGAGTACTACCAAGACAAAAGACAGAACGTGTTGGAGATCCATTGCAGCCAACATTCACTGTGGAGACGGCACATGGTTGCTTGACTATGTGCCCAGCTATAACTGTTTGTGCGGTTAATAAGGTTTCGGGGATTTACCCACGTTGGATTTGCATCCTAACAGTGGCTCTTTAAGTCAAGGTGTGTCAATCTTAATGCCTGACAGGGGCGGGGAAGAGTCACACAATTGACTAAACCTGGACTTGTATTTTCAACGGAGCTGCTATGTCTTGGGTGATTCCTGACTTACTAGACTGGCGAACGGTATCAAATGTTTAACACGTTTTGTTTTTTAGTCAGATGACTGGTTTAAAGATGGGATCTTAAACAGGCCATTCGACTTGAAATATAAGTCTGTGGCTGCACATAAACTAATCTCTGAGGAAATCAGTTTTCTCTTAGCTTCCACTAGAGGGGGGGGGGGGGAATTGGAAAGAGAGAGAGAAAGAGTGAGCGAGAGAGAGAGAGCGAGAGAGAGAGAGAGAGAGAGCGAGAGAGAGAGCGAGAGAGAGACAGAGACAGAGAGAGATAGAACCAATGAACGAAAGAACAAACTTTATATTCAAGGGGTTACAAATTGAGCAGCAGGCTCGTCTTACATCCGGCCCTCCAAGCGCTCATCTTTCAGACCAAAATTGCATGTGATCAATAATGCATGTTATGTTTATATTTAAAAAAATACATAATGAAATCATGCATACATGCATCATGCACACACCCACTCCGAATATACACGTACACATAGACTCTCATATGCCCACACAGACTCAAGCACACTCACACAAATACATACATACATACTCATAGATAACTGAATTCATGCTCATACATAGGCATACAAGCAACCACACTCATGCAGTCACATTCATACACTCCAACTAATATATATATATATATATATACACACACACACACACACACATATATATATCTTTAAGAAAGGGTATAGGAAAAAGTTGGGGAAGTAAAGTCCGCATCAGTGACCACACACCACCAACCGGAAAGCAACTGTTCTATACAATTCTGAGGCTAGCACTTTACAGCAAATGGGGCTCGGGGCGTGGACAAGTGTCTTAGAATTTATGAACAGAAAAACTAGACACAGCCACAAATCATTTCATCACCCCCGACTAGCCCCGGATTAGTTCCGTGAGTTCCGGGCCTTTTTTTCATGGGAAAAGCACAGACATTGTACCCCTAACAAAAATGTTGTAAAACTGACTAATAAAGGTTCTGCTGACATCGAATGTGTTGGGCAAAATGCGGAGATATCGCAGCCTGGATTTAAACCACAACACTATATGTGAACCGTAATTTTGAGGGTGAATGCAAAGAAGAAGAGGAAGATAAAATTCCTATTTTAACCAACACTATAAAGCCAGCTGAGCAAGACAGTTCTCGCTTACACCCCCTCCCCTCCCCCTCTTAAAAAAGATGGTAGAAGAAACAATGAAAAGGTGAGGGGAAAAGAAAAATATGAATGAATGACGCAGTCTACCGACAGGAACACAAATCAAAAGCCACAAAGCAGACTTACCCTGACCCCAAAGGTCATGGCCTTGCCCACGGTCTGAGGCTCAGTCCAGTCCCAGGTGACCTGGCTGCTGTGAGGTGTGGAGTACCGGCCAGTGAGGAACTCATAAATGGATGCCTTGGTGGAGGGCAGCGCCTGGTAGCACAGGTTGGACACCGTGCTCAGTCCGGACACTGCCGACAAGCTGGCCAGCAGCATGGCTAGGCTGGTGATCAACGCGGCCAACAGGAACCCAATGCCTGAGAGGATACACACAAAATATGGCATGAGTACGTCAACTCTGAGGTCTAAGTATATCGGCTTTATGATACTCAGCAAGGGTTAATCTTTCTTTTTTTTGTCACCTCACTAATGGCAGGTTTATGGCCCAGTGTGGTGGCTTTGTCGTCTCACTGATGGCAGGTTGTGGCCTAGTGTCGTCGTTTTGTTGCCTCACTGATAGCAGGTTGTGACCCAGTGTCGTGGTTTTGTCGCCTCACTGAAGGCAGGTTGTAGCCCAGTGTGGTGGCTTTGTCGTCTCACTGATACCAGGTTGTAGCCCAGTGTCGTAGTTTTGTCGCCTCACTGATACCAGGTTGTAGCCCAGTGTCGTGGTTTTGTCGCCTCACTGATACCAGGTTGTAGCCCAGTGTCGTGGTTTTGTCGCCTCACTGATACCAGGTTGTAGCCCAGTGTCGTAGTTTTGTCGCCTCACTGATACCAGGTTGTAGCCCAGTGTCGTAGTTTTGTCGCCTCACTGATACCAGGTTGTAGCCCAGTGTCGTAGTTTTGTCGCCTCACTGATACCAGGTTGTAGCCCAGTGTGGTGGCTTTGTCGTCTCACTGATACCAGGTTGTAGCCCCGTGTCGTGGTTTTGTCGCCTCACTGATAGCAGGTTGTAGCCCAGTGTCGTGGTTTTGTCGCCTCACTGATACCAGGTTGTAGCCCAGTGTCGTAGTTTTGTCGCCTCACTGATACCAGGTTGTAGCCCAGTGTGGTGGCTTTGTCGTCTCACTGATACCAGGTTGTAGCCCCGTGTCGTGGTTTTGTCGCCTCACTGATACCAGGTTGTAGCCCAGTGTCGTGGTTTTGTCGTCTCACTGATACCAGGTTGTAGCCCCGTGTCGTGGTTTTGTCGTCTCACTGATAGCAGGTTGTGACCCAGTGTCGTGGTTTTGTCGCCTCACTGATACCAGGTTGTAGCCCAGTGTCGTAGTTTTGTCGCCTCACTGATACCAGGTTGTAGCCCCGTGTCGTGGTTTTGTCGCCTCACTGATACCAGGTTGTAGCCCCGTGTCGTGGTTTGTTTGTCGCCTCACTGATACCAGGTTGTAGCCCCGTGTCGTGGTTTTGTCGCCTCACTGATACCAGGTTGTAGCCCCGTGTCGTGGTTTTGTCGCCTCACTGATACCAGGTTGTAGCCCCGTGTCGTGGTTTTGTCGCCTCACTGATACCAGGTTGTAGCCCCGTGTCGTGGTTTTGTCGCCTCACTGATACCAGGTTGTAGCCCCGTGTCGTGGTTTTGTCGTCTCACTGATACCAGGTTGTAGCCCCGTGTCGTGGTTTTGTCGTCTCACTGATACCAGGTTGTAGCCCAGTGTCGTGGTTTTGTCGTCTCACTGATACCAAGTTGTAGCCCCGTGTCGTAGTTTTGTCGTCTCACTAATACCAGGTTGAAGCCCAGTGTTGCGGTTTTCTGTATTTGATGTGCGCTTCTGGTGGTTTGGCTAACGGATTTGTTCATTTTTTTGCAGGTTTCAGCCACACTGTTTATCCATACCTTTCTTGGTTTTCTTCTCGCATTTCTCCGAGATGTTCTATTGTAACAATTCTCACATGCAGTTTGATCTGGTTGTAGTTTCACTACATAGCTGAATCATTTCATTCTATGTCTGTCAATACAAGTCAGAAATGGTCTTATTTCAACTTTCTTTTTAAAGCTTTTTTTTTTTTGCAAACCGTGTCTCTCTCCCCCCCCCCCCCCCCCACCCCCCTTTCTTCCTCTAAAATGCACAATCAACCAAAAAAAAGCCTGCGCGATCAACAACAACGTCACCAAAGACAATGTACAAAGGGACCAAAAACACCGCCACACACTCAAACACGATCAACAACAACATACAAACACAATTAAAACAGAACACGTAGAAACAAAACACTAATACGACCAACAACATAAACAACATGATCAGCACAACAAACCAAACACAACAAAGTGCCGGGCCGGAGATGTGCCCCGATCGATCCAGCAGTAGCTGCAAGAATCAACCAGTGTTTAGCGACTGCCGCCCACTTGTCAAGATGTGCACAACACAGGGACATCCCACGGGGAAGCACTCTAGCCAAAACACCAAAAGCTGATTCTGCACCGTGTTTGAGATCAGGGGGAATGGGGTACCTGACACCTGTTGAACTCATCTTTCCCAGAGTTCAGGTCGCCTGCATTTCAAACCAGTGAAAAAGAAATGCCTGTCACAAACTGAATTTCTACTCACTCTGCAGTCCCTGCTGGGTGCATTCGAAACCAAGGGAAATCACATATCTCTTAAGCTGGCAAATTCCATTCTTTCTATAGTTCCTGTTAGTTGTATTTATAATCAAGTGAACACACAGTGAGTGTTACAAGCTGAACTTCACTTCTCTCTAAACAGTAGGGAGTATACTTTGGATCTTATCTCCAGGGCATGCCGGTGTGGTTGGGAATGAACAGGCAGGCAGACTGGCTGGATCTGCACCGCTGCGTGGTGAACTGATGCATGACAGGGCAGATTTTTTCAGAGCCCTTTGGGAACAAGTAACGAAGTCAAAAGAGAAACTATATTATTATGCACTGGAGAGAATGATACACTTGGGTGTGACCAGAGGGTTTAATTGGCACACTAGGCTCAGAGGAAAGGCAAGAAGGACATACAACCAGACTACGACCAGCACCATTAGTATTGGAACTTTGCGCTAACTGCTGAGGATGGGGATGGAGAGCGTATGGGAATTCCCCAAGTGCTGTGATATAAATTCTTAACTCAACTCTTCTCTTGCATCGTCTTTATAAGCGAAGGAAAACACACATTATAAAGTGCGTTTATTCTTCTTTTCTGTAGCTCCTTCTGCATGTAGTTGAGATCAGGCACCGTCATGACCTAGTTCATATTCTCTGACATAAGGCTCTGCTAGGATGTCATGTCGTCTCACATCTCTTATTACAAAAGTATCCCCACCATAATGTCAGGTTCTCTGGCATGTCTTCTCACATCTCTCTCTACTGACGTGATGTCATGCTGTCTCACATCTCATTTCACAGATGTCTCTACTGACGTGATGTCATGCTGTCTCACATCTCATTTCACAGATGTCTCTACTGACGTGATGTCATGCTGTCTCACATCTCATTTCACAGATGTCTCTACTGACGTGATGTCATGCTGTCTCACATCTCATTTCACAGATGTCTCTCCTGACGTGATGTCATGCTGTCTCACATCTCACCTCACAGATGTCTCTCCTGACGTGATGTCATGCTGTCTCACATCTCATTTCACAGATGTCTCTCCTGACGTGATGTCATACTGTCTCACATCTCATTTCACAGATGTCTCTCCTGACGTGATGTCATGCTGTCTCACATCTCACCTCACAGATGTCTCTCCTGACGTGATGGCATGCTGTCTCACATCTCATTTCACAGATGTCTCTACTGACGTGATGTCATGCTGTCTCACATCTCATTTCACAGATGTCTCTACTGACGTGATGTCATGCTGTCTCACATCTCATTTCACGGATGTCTCTCCTGACGTGATGTCATGCTGTCTCACATCTCACCTCACAGATGTCTCTCCTGACGTGATGTCATGATGTCTCACATCTCATTTCACAGATGTCTCTCCTGACGTGATGTCATACTGTCTCACATCTCATTTCACAGATGTCTCTCCTGACGTGATGTCATGCTGTCTTACATCTCACTTAATGCTTTCTCACATCACAGATGTCTCTCCTGACGTGATGTCATGCTGTCTCACATCTAAACTCACAGATGTCTTCCTGGTCACTGCTGTCTCATGTCATGCTTTCTCCACATATATCTCACAGATTCTCTCCTGACGTGATGTCATGCTGTCTCACATCTCATCTCACAGATGTCTCTCCTG